GCTGGGGCCTCCGTGGGCTGCGTCGGGGGCTTTTGTGGAACCGGGGGCCTCCGTGGGCATGCTTTGGGCGGGAGCTTGGCCTTTGTGGGCTGTGCCGAGAGCCTCAGTGGACAGCGCGCCAGGGCCTTTGTGGGCGCGCTTTGGGCGTCTGTGGGCTGGGCCCTCTGGGCGCGCTTGGGGCCTCTGAGGGCTGGGGCCTCTGTGGGCTGTGTCGGGGGGCTGCGCGCTGGCCCTCTGTGGGCCCGCTTGGGGCCTTTGTGGGCAGCGCGGGGGGCCCTCTGTGGGTGCGGTTGCGGCGCCTATGTGGGCTGTGCCGGAGGGCCTGCGGGCAGCATGTTACGGTCCCTGTGGGCTAACTTTGGGCCTCAGTGAATTGTGTGTTGGGGGCCTGAGTGGGTAGTGCGCCGGGCCCCTGTGGGCGCGCTTGAGCTTCTGTGGGCTCTGTCCGAAGGCCTCAATGAGCAGCGTGCTGGGGACTTTGTGGTATGGGGGCCTCTCTGGCCAGGCCGTGTAGGAGTATGAAAGGGGGTGTCGAGCGGGAGCCCCTGTCGTCGCAGGTGGGCCTGGCTTGGCCCACACCAATTTGACTGAGTGTCGAGGGCGTCTCGAGCGAGAGCGCCACTCTTGATTTCGGGGGCCTCTCTGGCAAAGGCCTCTGCGAATACATTTAGAGGAAATATCGAACGAGAGCCCTTGTCGTCGAAGTTTGGCCTCCACCAATTTGAGTGAACCAGGAAAAAGTATAGAACGAAAGCGCCGTTTCTGAGTTCGGGGGCCCGCCTGGCCAGGGGCTCTCGGAGCAAATCGTGTGGAAGTATCGAGCAGGAGCCCTTGTTGTCGTGGCTGGGCTCCCGCCAACTTGATTGATTTGCGAGGGAGCTTCGAGCGAGAGCGCCGTTCCTGAGTTCGGGGGCCTCTCTGGTCAGGGTGTCTCGAGGTAAATTGTGAGGAAGTATCGAGCGGGAGCCGTTGATGTCGTAGCTCGGCCTCCAAGGGCCCACTTGTAGGCTCAAGCCAACGCTCGAGCAGAGCCTCGTTTCCAGAGGAACTGTAGCCGGCGTCGAGGCGAGAGCGCCCGGAACCGTTTCCGGATACCAACAAATACAACAACAGCAACAACAACAACAACAACGACGACGACGACGACGACAACAACAACAATTATTATAAGACTGCTCGCCCTTAGCTGCTCGAGTGTCCAATAACGCGCATTTCCCAAACCTTCGATACCCGCCCTCTTCGTCTTCGACCGAACCCTTTTTTGGGGGTATATTTTTCTTCCCTGCAGGCTGGGCCCCAGCAAGCGGCGGGGCGGCCGCGGACCGTCGGCCTGGCCAGCGGCAGCGCTGATCGGCGGGGCGGCCGCGGACCGTCGACCCGACACCAAGAGGGACGGACAGGGGTTCGACCACGACGACGACGACGTCGACGATGACGGCGACTTCGACGACGGTGACGACGAGCGAAAGCGAGAGCGAGAGAGAACGACAGCATGGCCACGAAGGAAACGAAGTAGGCCACGAAGGGCGACAGCGGGGACACGAAGGGAATGCGTATGGGGCCACGAACAGCGCGAACGAGCGGGGGCCACGAAGGGCAGATACTGTGGGGCTACAGATGGTAACGATGGGGCCGCTTGCAAAGAACACTCCTTTTAATCATCGCCTCGCGTGGAGAAGGGGCTCGGGACGTCTAGGATTTTTGTTTTTCTTCCACCTCTCCTGTGCTGGGTTCTTGCTTTGAACAGAGCACTGCTCGCGCGTCTCTTCTCTTCTCTTCTCTTCTCCTCCTCCTCCTCCTCCACTCCTGCCTCCTGCCTCCTTGCTTCCCTTTTTCGTGCCTTTCCTACTGGGGGGGTTGCGAACTGCGTGCCTCTCGCCACTTTCGTGGGCTCCTGCGCGGCACGGGACCTCGCGGCTGCCTGGGTGGCTGCGATTTGCGCAACTGTCGCTTCCTTGGTGGCCCCCTGGGAGACACCGCGGAGGTGAGGGTCATGCGAGACCTCGCGGTTCCCTCGGAGGTTGCCAATTTCGCAATCGTCGCCGCTTTCGTGGGCTCCTGGTAGGTGCAGCGGAGACGATAGTCATGCAAGAATTCGCGGCTCCTTCGGGGGCCGCCAACTGCGCAATTGTCGCCACTTTCGTGTGCTCCTGCGAAGTGCAGCGAAGGCGGTAGTCAAGCGAGACCTCGCGGTTCCCTGGGAGGCTGCCAACTGCGCATCTGTTGCCATTTTCGTGGGCTCCTGGGAGGCCCAGCGAGGGCGGCAGTCACGCGAGATCTCGCGGCTCCCTCGGAGGCTGCCATCTGAGCAACTCTCGCCGCTTGTGCCTCTTCCAGGTCCAACGGAGGCGGTAGTCACGCGAGACCTCGCTGCTCCTTCGGGTCCCTCTCCGTCGCCAAGAGCTCCCGTTGGGTTCGCCTCGCCCTCCCCCCGTAACCTTAAGTCGGGCCTGTCCCTCTACAGGAGGAATATTCAAACATAGTAAAAAGTAGTATTGGGACGATTTTCCGATTATTGTTTTTTATTATTGGAACATTTTTTATTGAAACTATTTTTTGTCGAAAGAACGCGTGTACGAGGACATGACCTAACCGTAACCGGAGAAAGCACGGCAGCTTTCGCCGCAGATTTGGAGCCCCTCCACGGCCGACAGTTTCGGGATCCGGCTATGGCTGGTGCAGCCACGCGTGTCTCTGGCTTGTGTTAAGTCGGGCGTGTCCCTCTATAGGAAGAATATAAAAATACCCCAGTGCGACCCTACCTAGAAGTTGGAGCCCCTAGGAAAGCAGCATGAGTTGCTATGCTATGCTATGCTATGCTATGCCATGCTATGCTGCGCTATGCTATGCTATGCTATGCTGCGCTATGCTGCGCTATGCTATGCTATGCTAAGCTAAGCTATGCTATATCATGCTGCGCTGTGCTATGCTAAGGTATGCTATGCTATGCTATGCGATGCTATGCTAAGCTGCGCTATGATATGCTATGCTATGCCATGCTATGCTATGCTATGCTGCGCCATGCTATGCTATGCTATGCTATGTTATGCTTGGCTATGCTATGCTATGCTATGCTATGCTCTGCTAATGCAGCGCTGCGCTATGCTAAGCTAAGCTAAGCTAACCCTCTAGGCAGAACCTAGGTCGGGAATTACACCCATGGCTATGCTATGCTGCGCTATGCGATGCTATGCTGGGCTATGCTATGATATGCTGTGCTGCGCTATGCTATACTACGCTATGCTATGCTATGCTGTGCTTTGCTATGCTAAAGCTCAGCAAAGCTAAGATGAAGGAAAGCTAAACTAAGACAAACCTGAGCTAAGATGAAGCTAAGCTAAGCTAAGATGAAATAAGCTAAGCTAAGATGAGATAAGCAACGCTAAGCTAAGGGGACGTAACTGGGGGAACCGCGGGGCGGATCCTGGGGAAACCGCCCGGGGCGGTTTCCACTGCCCGGCCCCTTTAAGATAGAGAGTAAGAACCCTTCCAGGCAGAGCCTAGGTAGGGAATAGGTAGAAAATTGTCTGGGAACGATTTTTCCATCATGTTTGAATATTTGTGGGTGCTTTTGACTAATCTTTGATTTCATTCAAAATCCGCCTGTAGGAGGACATGCCCGATCTAAGGCTTGCGCCTTCGTTCCCACCCGATCGGCTCGCTCTGGCCCGCCCCCAATCCGGGAGGGCAGGGCCTCGGTAGTAGCGCATCTGACAGGACCCTGTACAGTTCCGTCGTGGCGTCTTTGAGACCTGAAGACACACGAGGGTATCACCGTGCCAGCGTTGGAACAAACATCGTGTCTCTGGCATCCTAGCAGGATGGACGGTGAGTCTAGGTATGTCCTCAATGGTGCTTCGCGACCCAGGGTTGCCAGGCCACACCTTGGACCGAGCCTCGAAGACGAGGCTCGTTGGAAACTTTCCGGATCCAACATATCGGGTACGGCGGATTGTCTCTCGCGCGGAGGAGGCTGGGAGCGAATTGTGCCGGCGGGCTCATCCGCTGCAGCACGCAGGGGCTCTGTTTGCCAATCGTCGTGGCCCATTAAAAACGTGTTGCCTCCACCAGCCAGGTGACGGAAGGGCTCAGGTTTGAGAGATTCGCGAGCGTGGGTGCCACCGACTGGGTTTCAGTGCGCCTTGGCATGCGCTCCTACCTTGCGGTTTCTTGACCAGCTTCGGTCACTAGGGTGATGATGTGGAGATCTCGTTGATGGTGCAGTGCATGACCGCCAGGCTGCGAATGGTTACCCTGTCTGGGCCTTCGTGTGCATGATATTTCCGTCGCACACACACATACACATATATATATATATACCGCCACTTTCGAAACTGCTGGATGTGTTGGTCCACGCATGCATTCGTCATGTGGTCTTCCGTGTTCTTCCCGTTTGGTTTGTTGGGGTTCCCGACTATTATTTACCCAGGGTTCCCAGAAAAGTTCAAGTCTCCCTCGCATGAAGGATCTCAGGAGCGCGGAGCTGTTCGCTCACACATAGACACGCCGCTTGCAAGTGTATGCTGGTACACAGCGTTGCTCCCGAAAGCCAGATTTCAATTCATGGATTTCATGTCGGTCTGACTGTCGAGATGCAGGGTCAAGCGCCTGCGGATGTCCCCAGGCTGCAAGGCCTGGCGCTGACGTCAGTTTCCAAGGAGACGTTTCCTCCTCCTCCTCCTCCTCCCGGTCCTCCCCCTTGTCCCCCTCCTCCCTCTTGCTGCTCCTCCCCCGCTCCTGTCCCCTCCTCCCTCATCCTCCGCATCCCCCTACCCTCTTGTCTCACCTGCTGCTGCCGCTGCTGTTCCATGTCCTTCTCGGAGTCCGCTTGGTGTTCCTGCCCTTCTCCTGTCCCTGTTCCGCCTCTCATCCTTCCACAGGTCTTGTTGCTGTCTTTGTTGTTCTTCTCTTCTCAGTCTCCTGTCCTCCCTGTCCTCCTCCGCCTCCTCCTCCTCCTCATCCTCCGCCTCGATCTCCTCCTCCCCTCCCCGTTACGCCAGGACGTTGCTGCCTTGCTGGAAGGTGACGCCGCTCCACGACACGGCCACCGGATGGCCCGGGAAGTGCCTGAAGTTCTCGCGGCGGCCTGAACGGGAGGCCGCGTGAGGTCGCTTTGATGCCTGGCCCCAGTGGGCAGGAGGATGAGGAGGAGGAGGAGGAGGATGAGGAGGAGGAGGAGGAGGAGGAGGAGGAGGAGGAGGATTTTTGTTGACATCAACCGTGGCAAACGCAGGCGACGGCCGCGGTCGGGCGTCGCTTCCTGCTCACTGGACTGGAGGAAGCCAGTCCAGCGAGCAGTGAAAGAAGAAGAGGAGGGCAGGCGCGAAAGCCACGGGGCGATTTCCCCGAGGGGAGGATCCAATGTGGCTGCCCGCCCGCCCCCCTAAGCCCAAGACCAGAATAGAAGTGAGGTGAGGGCAAGAGACGCAGTGCAAGCCAGGGGCATGGACTGCATCTCTGAAGTAAGCCTGAGTCATCAGACGGCGGCACGGGTGCAACTCGGGGTGACTCGCCCTCTTGGAGGGTGAGGGTAGCCCTGTCACAGACAATCCCAGCCGATCTCGGCCTGGCACGTGGCTCGTGCGGCGGCCTAGGCGGCTTGCCCGTCTTGGGCGGGCTCAAAGGAACCTGGGCAGCTTCTTCTTCTGCGCCAGAATGGTCGGGAGGATGGGGCCAGTGCTTAGCAGCAGCAGCGGTGGAAGACGACGACACGTGCGACGGGTCGACGGCTCGATCGGGCTGCTGGCCCTGGCCCTTGCTGACGGCGGGCCTGCTCTCTGGCTCCTCTCTATCATGAGAGCCAGCTGCAGCTCGCAACAGGCGCCGCGCGACCTTGGCGGTACGCAGCTCCTTCTCATACTCACATAGGCGACGGGGAAAGTCCGTAGGCAGGTCTTCTTCTGGACCGTATCAGGGCCCCACCTCCACAGCAACACCTGAGCGTTTGGGGTGCCTGCCTTCCCCAACTGCTTTCCAGGCGCCCTTGGCTCCTGCACCACTCTGAGGCTCCCCTATCACACTGTTCAAGTAAGTTGCGCGGCTGACCATGAGACGAGTAGACTTGCACCCTAAACATATAGGCAGCACCATCTGAACCAAGCAACGCAATACAACTGTGCCGCAGGCCCGCCAGGATGGCACCATCAAGCTTGGGATCTCTGGAGCACGCACCAGGAGCAGGCGTGTCCAGACCTCCAGGCAACGTTCCATCGGGCCCTTCTCGCGGCACACCTTTCGCAACACGCAGGCGTTCAATGCATTGCCAAAAGGTAGAAACACGCGTCCACTGATGAAGGGGAAGCACGAACTTGAGCCGAGGAGGCTTACGAGCAAGTTTGACGTCTCTCAAGTTGAGCCTCGGCCACTCAGGCATAATTTCGGCGGTAAGACGCATGACACACTTGGCAACACTTATGCACCTCTCTAGCCACTCTACGTCAGCAGGGTCGGGCTGTGGGTGTCTGGCTAGCGAATTTTTGGCAACTGAGTCGGCAAGGTCATTCCCTAGCTTCCAGAAGCGCTCCAGCTCGGTGAGAGAGATCCTGAGACTCTTCGACGTGGGCTTTCATTTTGAAAGCCCCGTCAACGAGCTTCCGATGGGTGAGAAGCAAAAAACCAGAATACACACGCTGGTAGGACAAGGAACGCAGGAGGGGCTCGTTGGCCTGGACGACCACATTCTTGCAGTCGGAATAAATCGAGCTGCCAGGCATGGCATGCAGAGCAGCAACAGCGTAGGCTACGAATTCCCCACCCTGGGCCGGTTGAAGGTTAGGGGCCCACAGATGGCCATTGATACGGCAAATTGCATCCCCATCATCTCCTACGAACGCATCGCCCACCCAGCCCTGGAGAGTTCTTAGACAGTATGGGTAGCACGCGGCCCGGCAACAATATATGTCAAGATATGTCCAGGGATTTACATGTGCGATCTTTGGCCCATATAACCTCAAAGCCAGTGTCTTCAACGTCGTCACGAGCAGGAAACGGAAAAACAGCTCTCGGGTGCCGAAATAGACACTTGGTGTATAGTGGGAAGTCCTCCTCGATGGTGTCAGCCGGCAAGTCAGGGGGAGGGCGTCGGATTTCTTTCTTGGAACTCCTGAGTACCTCTTCTTGCTGGCCATGGCACGCATGACAAGACCACGGGCGGTGCAGCACAGTATCTGGACTGCCCTTGTGCAGCTCGCAACTCGGGGCGACGTCGTATCCTGCCTCGGCTGCCCTGGTTCTGGTCCAAATCGCATTGCGCGCGACGGCCTTAGCACGACCTCGCTGCAAGGGCGTGCCCTTCCTGGAACGCAGTGTGGCTGCAACAATATCATGGCTTACTCGCGCACTGAGCGAGTGAGGAAGAAGGGCGGCGCCACTGGCTGATGCGTCCTCTGAACAGCTGCCTTCAGCATCTTCTTAAGCAGGGCGGGGGTGGTGACCGTGGGGGGCACTTCGGTTCTAATATCGTCCAGAAGGGCGCAGTAGTTGGGCATGGCCCACGAGAGGCGTCCGAGGGCCAGCTTCGTGTCCCCCAAAGGGCCCCTCGCCCCGCGCCAGGTTTTGGGCCTTGGGGAAAGGAACGCCGAGGACCACATCTGCCGCGCATCGCCCCAGTGAGTAACAAAGGGGAGCAGCTTGGTTTGGTTCGCCCATATTTCCTTGGCGCAGCGCGCGATGGGCGCCGCGGCGGGGTACCAGGTGGGGCCCCGAGAGAGAATGATCAGAGAGGTCCCCGACCTCATCTTGGCAGAGGGCTGCGTCGTGCTGGCAGCTGCGATCTGAAGTCTTTGCCGCTCGTAGTTGGAAAGCCCATTCTCTTCGGCTCCAAAAGTGAGACTGAAAAGAGAGCGCCAGCGGTAAACACCGTGGACACATGCCTGCCAAGAGGCCGCTTGGCCCGTCCGAGCCTTTGGAGCTTCTTGTTGAACGCGCGCTTGCGGTCGCCGAACTTTCGGCCGCGACCGGGGGCCCTGCGGGGGGCGCCACGGGCAAAATCAATCCTGAGGTTCACAGCGGAGGGCACCGCGGGCCCAGCAAGGCCTCCCAAGCGATCTCTGACCAGGTTGGCAAGCGCGTCCGACGAGGTGACAAGGGCGGCTTTATCAACCGAGATCACACCGCCCATGTCCTCCTCGATGGCGGCCCTGAGGTCGGCTGTGGCCTCGAGGAGATGGCAGGCTATGTCGGGGAATGGCCCGACACAACTGAGACCGTAATCGTCGATGTAAACGTTGAGCGTGTTGCTTGGCGGGAGCTGCAGGGCACCGAGCGCGGGCGCAGCGTTGATGCGCGCCATGGTGGTCGCGAAGCCACAGCCAGCGACGACGCCGTTGTTGGCGAAGAAGACTCCGACGACCGTTCCTGAGAGCGCAATGTACCTGCCATGCCGGCGCCCTTGCACTGCCGACCTCGCCAGCTGCGCGGGGAAAAGAAACTGGTGGCAGCGCTGAAGGGGGGTCGAGAGATTGGTAAGCTCAAAGCACTTGTAAAGGTCCCATAACAGCGTGCAGCTGGCTCCTTTCTTGGGTGCAGCTCCTTCGGCGCGTGGGGATTGCAGGCCGCGTTGATGGCGGGCGAGAGCTGGGGGCCCGCGAATAACTCCGATGGGAATCACTTTCCAGTGAACGGCAAACCTGTGTCTGCATCGCCCCCGAGGGCAACTGGGACTGCAGAGGGGGCCGACGTGCCTGACGCCGCCAGAAGGTTTGTCGAACAGGGAAATCACCCCCATGGGAATTTGACCAGGGTGGAGCCCAGAAGCCTCCGCGGCCGAAAACATGGCCCCCAGGGCCCCAAGGGCCCTGTCCGACAGACAGGCATAATGCTTCATGTGTGAATCATCAATTGCCGTGGCAGACCTAGACGAGTATCGCCTGGAAGCAGAGCGCAGCTCGTCTGCAGTGAGCCAGGAAAGTGGATCAACAAACTGGAACGTAGTGTTCGGTTGGGGCGGAGTGTTCGAGGCATCCCACAGCTTACTGCATGTACTAGCCTCGGCCGCAGGCAAGGCCAGGGGGTCGGATATGGAGGCCCCATCTCGATTCAAAGTAGTGGTGGGGGTCCAGGGTTGACTGCCGCGCGCGTGCTGGTGAGCCCTCCGCGCCCCCTGATCTCCTGATCTATTGACTGGGGCAGCCATCCCTCCCGCTCGGCAAGCGCCTGCGACTTGGCCTTGACGGCAAAGGTCGCCAGATACTCGTCCAAGTCGGTGGGCATAGCTTCCCCAGATTTAAGATCGAGCAAGTGATGCTGGCCTAAAACATTCCTCGCTCTCAAAACATTATCGGCGTGGGAATCCAGCCCTTGCTTCAGAAAGGTGGGCGCGGGCAAAAGCAGCCTCCGCACCTCCTGCGCCTGGGCGGCCCTGTGCCGGCCGCGTCGAGCTGAAGGGGGGGCCTAAACTTGCCGACCAACCACTTGAGAGAAGAGCTGGGGCTGTCTGTGGGGGGCCTGCTATCTTGGTCCAAAATGTGAGCCCACTTCTGTTTGGGCATGTTCCCACTGCTTCCCCAACATGGGAGGGTGGTTTGACGTGTCCCCGCTAGCTCCGTCTCGGCCAAGTCGGCCCAATGCTTATAGAGGGCTTTGATCATCATGTGCTGTGCAGCATGGGCGTCGCCGCTACGACAAGCCTCGGGGACGCGGCCAGCCTCGGCTTGAACCGCCGCCCACGCAGGCGGTGGCGGCGCGGGTCCGATGGACATGTCCGTCGGCAATGGTGGCGGCTTACGAAAAACAAGGCCGTGGAGCCGCCCAATGCCTGCGTGAAGCCTGGGCTGCGTTGGTAGGTGGGTAACGATGTTCGATGTGTGAATCGCTTCGACTTGGGAAATGCCTTTAGCGAGCCCCGAGGCGACGACGAAATAATCGATCATGCTGTTGCCGCGCGTGCCGATCACGCTGCTGGGAACAGCAACCTGTGCACGCAATCGATTAACAATACCTGTTGCAGTAATCGTGTCAGGATTCATATTCAAGTCAGCACCGATGATAGTGGGTAGAGCAACCTGCTCCACAACCGTAACGATGAGGGAAAGGAGCTCCACGTTGGCCACAGAGAGCACTTCGTACGTGCGTA